AGTTAAATATAGTATGGTAAATTGATGAACATAACATATTGTATAATTAAGTGATATATAGCATGACAAATTTAATAATATAATAGCTTAATTAAATATAATATGACAAATTTATGAACATAACATATTGTATAATCAAGTGATATATAGCATAACAAATTTAATACCATAATAGTTTAATTAAATCTAAATTAATCACACATTTGTATTGATCATATATTATAATAAACTCTTATACCACTATGAATTTATAGGTGTTGATACAAAATATATATGTAGACAATAATGATATTTATGATAATTTTAATCGAACGAACACGAATAGTCATTATGTTAATCGAACGAACACGAACAGTTATTATGTGTTCGTTCAAGTTCGAACACGAAATCGAACAGTCCTTCATACTTATCGAACAAGTTTCGAACGGGACTGTTCATTCATGTTCGGTTCGATTGTAGGGCTAGTTCTCATGGGATTAGAAACTTCTAGGAATGGATTGAAATAAAGTTGTCTCAAAACCACTTGGTGGTTATTTATCTCATCCTACAGTAGTCGTCGAAATGGATCACTAATTTGAGAAAAGCTATACCACAACGAGGGTACCAATTTAGCTTGTTGAGTTGATACCATAAACCCGTTAGAGACTGACACGTGTCAACTTTATTAATAACTCTCTTATTTAATTTTTTTTTTTTAATTACAAATTTAAAACGGAAACTTTTTCAGCTCACACTCTATCTTCCACGTGCTTTTTCGACTGCAATTCCTAAAATTGTATCCCTAAACATGCCCAGTCTCTATCGGATTTGTGTACCCTGTTGTATTGTAGATTTTCTCAACTAATTGATGAATTATCATGGCCAGGAATGAATTATATGAAGAAAGAGAACTACAGACAATTCCTAACTACATACAATATTTTACATGAATTTTTAAATCTTTAGTTTGAAGATAATATTTAGACATGGTTAGAGTTAGATGAGTACTCTTCATTTTGAAAATAATAATGTCACACATACAAAGTTTATATCGCAATTAATGAAATTTATTATTATTATTATTATTATTATACCAACTCTTTATTAATGTAATTTAACGAAGAAGCTATGCTATACATAAATTATATATTTTATTAGTATACTAAATTTATTTCCCGACTTTGTAATTGTTTTTCCATAAATTAATACCTCCATTAAGGACTAATACATGTACTATATATAGCAGAATGTAATTTTTTTTTTTTCTCCCTTAATTTAATTAATTCAGATATTATCCTTAACAAGCATCTAGCTCACATATTTTGCAACGGAAGAAAAATTTCGAAAGCCAATGGCATAAAAATTAGATAAGCTCCCAAGTTGAAGAAGATACTCTAGCAATTTACTTGTAATTTCAGAGGTTTGAATTTCATTGGAAACAGCTCATGGCCAGGGGCATTAACCCTCACCCCGTTAAGGGATTAGTCTCATACCTTCGGGTGTGAGGATAACCCTCGTATTTTAAAAAAAAAAAAAAAAAAGGGTTTAAAAGCTGGCACAGAAACGGATTTAATTTTTTTTTATGTCCAAGTAGTTTGGTGCACAGAAAAGAAAAATATTGTTACCTTTTAGGCATTTCATTAAAATATAAATTTGTTGCAACGTATTTAAAGACGTTAATAGACCTTACATCCGAATAATCTGATTAAACTCAGTCAATATTTTTTAATATGAGTAAAGTGAATTGCTTACTGAAGGATATGGTCTTAACCATTTAAGACGGTATCAGCATTTAATTAACATAATCTCATTTTCTTAGTGGAAGCATAGGCAAAATTAGTGGAGGATATAGTCTTAACCATTTAAGACGGACCAGGACTTTTTGAACTGAAAATGACAATTTCTTAACATAACCACTCACACAAGGTGATAAATTTAGGGGGTGTTTGTCTAAGCTTATAAGCTGGTCAAACTAGCTTATAAGCTCTAAAATTAAGCTGACCTGTTTGTTTATAACTTTTTTGAATTTATAAGTTGAGCTTATAAGCAAAAAAAAATAAGTTGGGGGGGAGGTACTTTTTTTTTCTGCTTATAAGCTAGTTTGACCAAATATATTACCACATTATCCTTGTTTAATTTTAAAATTCCATAGTGTACTTTTATTTAATTTAGTACCCTTTTTAGTCATTTTATAATAAAATGTACTTATAAGTCACATTTTACCAAACACGTCAACTATTTATCAGTAACTTATAAGTACTTTAACCAAACACGTAATTGCTTAAAATTTTAAATGCTTATAAGCTAAAATTGGCTTATAAGCACTTATTGCTTATAAGCTAATTTTCATAAGCTCAGACAAACACCCCTTTAATCATGTAAGGCAAAGACCTTGACTTCATAATTGTCAAATACATAACCTCATTTTCTTACCCGAAGGACAAGGCAAAATTGGTGGATATAGTCTTAACCATTTAAGACGGTATCAGCATTTAATTAACATAATCTCATTTTCTTAGTGGAAGGATAGGCAAAATTAGTGGAGGATATAGTCTTAACCATTTAAGATGGACCATGACTTTTTGAATTGAAAATGACAATTTCTTAACATAACCACTCACACAATGTGATAAACTTAATCATGTAAGGCAAAGACCTTGACTTCATAATCGTCAAATAAATAACCTCATTTTCTTACCCGAAGGACAAGGCAAAATTGGTGTCCACATGAAGGGCTAGAATTTCTCACCAAAAGCAACAAATACAAAATAAAGGTTGTTTGGGCAATTTAAAAAATCTAGAATACCAATGTGTACCACGACATTCATGTTAAAATTCATTATATTAATATGTTATATAGTTTGGAAAACTTTGTATGCAATTAATTTGCTGACTAGAGCTGCTATCACACTGGCAAGTTGAAGTGGTACGTAAAAAAGAAATGAATGACAATTTCTTAACATAACCACTCACACAAGGTGATAAACTTAATCATGTAAGGCAAAGACCTTGACTTCATAATTGTCAAATAAATAACCTCATTTTCTTACCCGAAGGACAAGGCAAAATTGGTGTCCACATAAAGGGCTAGAATTTCTCACCAAAAGCAACAAATACAAAATAAAGGTCGTTTGGGCAATTTAAAAAATCTAGAATACCAATGTGTACCACGACATTCATGTTAAAATTCATTATATTAATGTGTTATATAGTTCGGAAAACTTTTTATGCAATTAATTTGCTGACTAGAGCTGCTATCACACTAGCAAGTTGAAGTGGTACATAAAAAAGAAATGAATGCAAGACAGACGCTTTTAAGTCAAGTATAATGCTAGAGGATAAGTAAATTTTCTCAACAAATAATTTTACTAAGCTTGTGAAAATTGATGGAGGCTGTTATGCCTGAAAAGTTAGGGCTGACATAGACTCTCGTCAGCAAGAGCCAATCAGGGCTTAGGAAGGTTTTATGCCATTCAGGCGCTATCACGTCACACAGTAATGCAAGGGGCATGGCTCCTGCTAGTGTAGTAGGTGAGTGCCAGGCTTGCGAACGGTTATAGATCATCCACCTGTCCAAACCCTACGCAAGTTGAAGATATTTCTCGTGCAAATAACCAATGGGACGCAAAGAAAGATTTGCACGACACCTACCCACTTGTAGACTTGTAATCATTATCTTGAAATTTCCCACTATAAATAGAGGACTTCCCTCTCATCTACGGGATTGGCTAATCTTAGTGTAAAATAGTTTGCACATTCTCTCTCTCTCTTTTGTATTATCTCTAGATTATAACTCAGCTCGTTGCACGTGACCTGATTTTACCCATCTATCAATACAATAGCAGTGGACATAAAATTCGCTTTTGAGCATCCGAACCACTTTAAATATCGCTTCTCATTCATTATATCATTTCATATTTCCTTATCACGTGTGATTTCTAAGTCCGCTTAGCACTTTGCACTTGTGAGTAGTCGGTGTCAAAATCAAGCATCCACAGTTTGACGCTAGAAGGAGGGTCTGATTTAGTATCAGTCTTCATTAGAAATATCTGACTAATCGATCCTACCAATCAGCAAATGGCTCGCGGTTTTGAATATGAGCGAACCAATTATGACAATGAAGAAATCCCCCAGATACAGGAAGACACTTCTGCCGAAGTGCCGCCAGTCCAACAGAGTATCATGACGGATATTCCTTCAAGCTCGCGGCTCAACCTAGCCATAATGAGTTATCTGGTGAGGTTCAATAATACTTTCCAAATGGATAGTCAAAGGCTAGACCGATTGGATCGGGTCGTGCCACCAAAATCCAACGAGGTGGTGCCACCACCAAAAACATCTGCAGGTCACGTGAAAGTGCAAAAAAGGGCAAAAGCCTTTACCGCGTACACTGTAGCACAACAAAGAAAGGGAAAGCAAGTGGCGAATAATGGACTTGAGGGCTCCGAGGTACCAGCGAACACCGGTCGCGCACTAGGGTAATGTTCTATTTTAATTTGAATTCAACACTTTCTTAATTCTTAGTTTATAATTAAAAAAAAAAAAAATTGAGGTATAATTTTCACAAATTATAATCATTTGATTAGTAAAAATGGTAAAGAATTGAGATAATGAGAGACTGATCATGAAAATTCATGGTAGAAGCACAACCACTCACACGAGAGGATAAATTTAATCATGTAAGCAAAGACCTTGACTTGATGACTGTCAAATACATATACTTCATTTTCTTACCGGAAGGACAAGGCAAAAATAGTGTCCACATAAAGGGTTATCATACTGGCAAGTTGAAGTGGTCCATACAAGCACACATAGCTTCCGGAAATGAATCCAAGACAGACGCTTTCAGGTCAAGTCTAATGCCAGAGGACAGACAACATTACTGAAATTTTCTCAACAAACAAATTTACTTAGCTTGTGAAAGTCAATGGAGGCTTTTGAAGCCTTAAAATATATTGTATGAGTTGCCTATATATATCAGAGTTCTGAATTATGATATGCATTAAGAAATAAGAAAAACAATGGAGTGCTCAATCTTGAAGAGAGTATTTTCACTTGTTTCCCTACTCTTGTTGTTTGTTTTGCCAAATTCTTCACTTGACATTGCTTCTAATTCCACTAAAGAAGCACTTGCTCTTCTCAAATGGAAAGCTAACCTTCAAAACCATAACCATTCTCTTCTAACATCGTGGACTCTTTCTTCAGTGAATTTCACTACAATAAGTCCATGTACTTGGTTAGGAATCTCCTGCAACCATGTTGGAAGTATCAGAAGTATTAATCTGACTAGTACAAGTTTAAGAGGTACACTTCATGAACTTTCGTTCTCATTTTTTCCCAATCTTCAATTCCTTGATCTAGGCGTGAATGAACTCTTTGGTACTATCCCTCCTCATATTGGCCACCTAACACATCTAGAAATCCTTTATCTTTATTCAAATGAATTCTCTGGCTCTATTCCTATGGAGGTAGGTAACTTGAAGTCTCTTTCAAATCTAGAGTTGAGTGGAAATCAATTGACAGGTTTTATTCCTCATTCCATTGGTAATTTGAGCAACTTAAAAGTATTGCACCTCCACTTGAACAACTTTTCTGGCTCTATTCCGATGGAGATAAGTAACTTGCAATCTCTTTCAAATCTAGCATTGAGCAAAAATCAATTGACTGGTTCGATTCCTCCTTCCATTGGTAATTTGACCAACTTAAAATTCTTGTACCTCGGCGTGAACAACCTTTCTGGCTCTATTCCTATGGAGGTAGGTAACTTGAAGTCTCTTTCAGATCTAGAGTTTGGCGTAAATCAATTGGTTGGTTCTATTCCTCCTTCCATTGGTAATTTGAGTAACTTAAAAGTATTGTACCTTGAGGAGAACAACCTTTCTGGCTTTATGCCTATGGAGGTAGGTAACTTGAAGTCTCTTTTAGATCTAGCGTTGAGCATAAATCAATTGATTGGTCAGATTCCTCCTTCCATTGGTAATTTGAGCAACTTAAAAGTATTATACCTCCACAGCAACAACCTTTTTGGCTCTATTCCTATGGAGGTAAGTAACTTGAAGTCTCTTTCAGATCTAGAGTTTGGCGTAAATCAATTGGTTGGTTCTATTCCTCATTCCATTGGTAATTTAAGCAACTTAAAAGTATTGTTCCTCCACAGCAACAACCTTTCTGGCTCTATTCCTATGGAGATAGGTAACTTGAAGTCTCTTTCAGATCTATCGTTTGGCAAAAATCAACTGGTTGGTTCTATTCCTTATTCCATTGGTAATTTGAACAATTTAAAACGTCTTTACCTTCACCATAATAGCCTTTCTGGCAGTATTCCTCAATCCATTGGTAATTTGAACAATTTAAAACGTCTTTTCCTTGACCATAATAGCCTTTCTGGTTGTATTCCTTCTTCCATAGTCAATCTGAGCAATTTAATAGGTTTTCACCTTAACAATAACTACTTTTCTGGTTTTATTCCTACGAGGTAAGTAAACGAGGATATATCAATATCTAGGATTGATCACAAATCGAAGTGGTTCTATACATTCATCATTTGATTGTTGTTTGAAGCAATTTAAAAGTTTTGTATCCTTATAATAATAACAACTTTTGTACTTATATTCCTTCTTCTAGTTGTAATTTGAGCAAAAATTAAATAATTACATCCTGGTGACAACAATATTTTTGGTTCAGTTCTCATGGAATTAGAAATTTCTTGGAATGGATTGAAATAGAGTTGTCAGAAAACCACTTTGTTGTTATTAATCGTATCCTATAGCAGTCGTTGAAGTGGATTACTAATTTGAGAAAATCTACACTACAATAGGGGTACTAACTCAGCTTGCTAATTTGGTGCCATAAACCCATGACACATGTCAACTTTACTAGTAGCTCCCTTATTTAATTTTTTTTATATTTTAAAATTAAAAAACCAAAACTTTCTCAGCTCACACTCTATCTTCTCATGCGCCTTTTAAACTTCAATTCTTGAAATGGTATCGCTAAACATGTTTAGTCTCTGACGGCTTTGTGGTACCAATGAAATAATTCTATAAATTAAAATAATATTCAACCTTACCTAAACATAATCTCTTCCAATGGACCAATGCCATTTAATAATGTAAAACATATGGACTCTTTATTCAAATTATGTGGCATGCAGACCCTTTTACAATTTATATAAGTTGATTTTTTTTTTTTTTTTTTTTTTTTTTTCACACGATTCCACTCACACACAAGTTTTGCTGTAATATAATTTTTATATATACAAATTACAAAAATAAAAAGTTTGTGGTTGTAGATTACTTATATTTAATTTAAAATTTTAAAATTGATGAAAAATATTTTGTAAAACTAAAAGATAATGATAAAAAATCAACTCCGCGACCTTCGCATTCCAAGCCTCTGTAGTATGATTCTTGTTATGCACACCATCTGCTCTATGTAAATTCACTATTAAAAAAGAATTAACATCTCCCATTTTATTTCTTAAATTATTTTTTCTCGTAAATTTGAGAGTGGGATAGTGGTATTGATCACAAGGTTAGATTTATTATGATGGCTTTGAGGAAGAAATCATATTATGGATAAATGTTTTGGAAGGGCTTCGATTTTACAGTTCTAAATTCGACTTGAAGAAGCTGAGACCCATGATTCTTAAGAGAATTGAAAATCGTTCAAGAACAAGAACTCGATTGGACTGTGACAAGGTGCCGGCCGACGGACAACCGGCAGTGCCGCCTCCTACAATTATATAGTCAAAGGAATTCTCCGATGGAAAGTTTGCGGCGTTGAACAAAAACTTTAGAAAACTTTAGTTTGGTGTAGAAAAAGTTAAAAACTGAAGCAAAACAGACGACAAGAAAGATAATTTCAATGGTCTAATGAATGTCGTTTATAACTGTATTAAATTAAGAAGAATTTCTTTCTTTTCTTACAATTCAATGTTCTAATGAAACAACTATTCGTTAAGCTCTTGACTTTGTCACCTATTCAATTGTTTCGGGGTCGTGGAAAATTTTGGATCAATTCACATATTCATAGGTAAACTTTCCGGTGACTGCTTGTCGATTGTTTCGACCTTTTCTCCACTGATTGCAGTTCCCTACTGATTTGTTGTTGATATTTGATTGTTGTTGTGTGTAATTACCTGGTCGCCGATGACTCTCAATCATTTTCAACCTTCTGACAGCCAACTCGCCCACCACTTGTTTGACAAAATTCCTCACCCAAAGCCACCAACGGCACCTTCCCTTTGAGATGCGGAATGTGTAGGGTTATTTTTAAATTTTTATTTTTATTTAAGATTTAATATAGTCTGAATGACTACTTTACCCTTAGACCGTTTGACTAAAAGATTTTCTATGAATTTAAAGGTAAGAATATGGAATTTATGAAACCAAGGTGGGAACTTGCTATTTCACTAAATCTTGGGTGAGAATATATCGTATACTCTTTTTAATGCACACCATATTTTAAGCTTTTTAACTAAATTTAATTCAGATATTTGAAGCTAATATATTTTGCAACAGGAAAAAAAAAAAAAAAAAAAATTGCAAAAGCTAATGGCATAAATTACAACATCAGATTATGCAATATATATTCAAATGCAAGCCATATGTTGTATTTTTGTATTTACATTGTATTTATGGAATCCATAGCAATTAAGATGTTCTATTGAAATAATTATCTAAATTGAAAAGTAATTCTATATAATGCTAATGTCAAATCTCAAATGTTAATCAGAATTCAACAATTTCTTAATTTTTATTATTATATATGTATAAAAAAAGAAGATATGATGCAGAGAAATTATAATCATTTGATTAGTAAAGATAGTAACGAGAGGTGAGTCATGAAAATTCATCGTAGAAGCACAACCGCTCTCACAGGAAGGTGTAGTCTTAACCATTTACCTCCCCAAGTCCCAATTCGAAGAACATTGCCAAGGTACCCGCAAGAAAATAGTTAATATAAGTAGATTGAATTTCAATATAATATTTATTGAATTGAATTGAAATGCAATGCAATCCACTTGAAAATTAATTGAATTTGTTATGGAACCAGTTTTTTAGTTCATGACAGGGAGCAGGATGTTTACAGCTTCCAGTTTTCAGTCCTGTGTTTTCCAGTTCATACTTCGTGCTCAAATTTCCAGATTTATATTCAGCTTCCAATTTTCAAATAATTACTGCTCAACAGTCAACGTTCACTGCAACAGTTTCCGTTTGTTTTTTAAAAATGTTCATTATTCAACGGTTTGATTAACAGCTTCTGTTAAGTGTCGTTAAATTCTTTTAGTACAACGTTGCCGCAGTTCTCACAGAATTAGAAATTTATTGGAATGGATTGAAATAGAGTTGTCTCAAAACCACTTGCGGGTTATTTATCCTATCTTGTAGTACTAGTTGAAGTGGATCACTAATTTGAGAAAATCTACACTATAACAGGGGTACTAACTGAGGGTGTTTAAAAAAATACAAAAATCGAACCGATAACCGAACTGGAAAACCGATTAACCGAAAAATGGTTCGGTTACGGTTCAAGAAATTCAAAAAACCAAATTTTTGGTTCGGTTAGCGGTTTGGGAAAAAATCAAAACCGGTTTATATATTAAATAAAAATAAAAATAAAAACTATATATTAAATAAAATAATAATAATTTAAACTAAATCCCTAAAAAAATTGTTAGTAATGGTCAATGGATATATATGAATGTTTAATTTTTATTTGGATATGTACTGTTCATGTTTACATTTTAATTTGGGAAAAAATTTAAAAAAAAAAGTTTTATCCAATAAAAAAGGGGAAAATCGGTTAACCGAAAAACCGGTTTTCCCCCAAACCGGTTCGGTTTTGGTTCGAAAAAATTCCCGAACCGAAAAACCAATTAGGTTTAGAAAAGTGGTTAACCGGTTCGGTTAACCGCTTTTGAACACCCCTAGTACTAACTCAGCTTGCTGATTTGGTATCATAAACCCATTAGAGACTGACACATTTCAGCCTTATTAACAGCTCGCTTATTTAATTTTTTTTTTTAAAAAAAAAAACCAAAACTTTCTCAGCTCACACATATCTTCCCACGTGCTTTTTAAACTTCAATTCCTAAAATTGTATCGCCAAACATGTTTAGTCTCTATCGGGTTTGTGGTACCAATGAAATAATTCTATAAATTAAAATAATTTTCAATCTTACCTAAACATAATCTCTTCCAATTCCATTTAATGATGTAAAACATATAAATTCCTTATTCAAATTATGTGGCATGCAGACTCTTTTACATTCTGATTCTCATTAAACAATTTATATAATTTGTATATATACAAATTACAAAAAGAAAAAGGTTGTGAGTGTGTATTACTTATTTTTAATCTAAAAATTTAAAATTGATGAAAAATATTTTGTAAAATTAAAAGCTGTTATTCTTCTTCTTTTCTCCAAATCAACCTTCACTCTAATTCAAACAATCCAATTTTTAATTATTTAATGGAAATTCAACAAAATAAATTCAATTATTATTCTTTATATTATTCTTGGGTTAAATTGTAATAAGTTGGGTTCATTTTGTAAAAATACAAACTAGTATCTAAAACGGTGCGTTTTGTAGCAAATGTATATAAATGCTCGGTAGCTTCTTCTTCAATTCAATTAATGAAAAACTTTGTTGGCTAAAATTCTCTTACGTCCAGTTTCTTCTTTCTTCTCTATAGTTTTTCTTCTCCATTTTTCTTGGCTGGTTGAAACTTCTTCATGGTATCAGAGCTGAAGACAAGCATCAATGCCTACTACTAGTTATGAAATAGTGAATCTTGCTTCGAAAACTGGAAGTATGAACATGACTAGCTTAATTGTGCAGTCGTCACTACCGTCTCTTACTGTGAAGTTGGAAGAGAGAAATTACAACTATTGGCTCACTCAAATTCTACCAGCCTTAATCTCTCATGAGCTCAATGGCTACATTATAGGTGAAATTACTTGTCCCTCTATGTTTCAAATTGAAAAATCGGAAGATGGTGAGAAATTGATAAAAATAACAAACCCTAAGTACTTTGAATGGAAGAAGATAGATTAATGTTTTGTTAGCTAGTTATTTTCCTCAATTTCTGAATCTATGTTTAGACACGTAGCGAAATGTACTAGTGCCTATGAGATTTGGAACAATATAGAGTTACACTTCCAATCTTTCTCAAAGGCTCGGACATTACACTTGAGGAACTTGTTACAGACCATGAAAAAGGAGGGTTTAAGTATCAATGAATATGTTTTAACAATGAAAGAACTAGGAGATGAATTGGTTGCAAGCGGAGTGTCAATTGGAGATGAAGAATTGCTCTTATACATTATGGATGGTTTGGGACCTGAATACGACGTTGTTAATAGCAATAATGCCACTTTTCAAGAAGCTCAGTTTTTGCTTCACAACATGAGATGCCTTTGGAGAGACATAATGGTGCATTATTGAATTTTCATGAACACTTGAACTCAGCACTCCTAGCCTCAAAATAGGGAGCAACTGACACTCATTTATATGCACGTCAGAATTCTTCTACTCCTATCTCTTCTGGAACTGTGATTCAGAGTAATCTACTAAACTACCATAATACTATATCCTATGTTCAACAACTTACCATTGCTATGTTGTATGTCCAACAACCTCCCAATGCAAATTTTAATCAAGGATTCTTTCCTAATGTCCCTAGCTATGGTGGTGATAATATGATGAGAGGACGAGGACGAGGCAGAGGTTACTACAGACCAAGACTAGTATGTCAGGTCTGTAGTAAACTTGGTCACTCTGCCTTATAGTGTTATCATCGCTTTGACCAAGATTTTCAAGGTTTTCCAGTACATAATTTTAACTCTCAAGTGCAGAATTACAATTCCTAGACTCCTTCTATCTCGTATAACATCTTTGGTTCCTCTCAATTTATTGGGTCAAGAGCTTCTACAGAACCTGCTCAAGCTATGGACGCAACTCAACAGGGCTCCTTTAGTCCTTTTCATACCAACTCCTTTACACAATAAGGCTCATTTAATCCCTCTCATGTCAACTGCTTTGGCATGTTTCATGATATGAAAACTAGTGCTAACTCAAAACAACCTCAGCAAAAACTTGTTGGGTTTCCTTACAATTTTCAATTTGTTGGAAATGTCACTGCACCCTTGGCCCCACTCTCGACTACTTCTGATTCGAGTAGTAATACTTCACAAACTTTCCCTTATCAATCTTGGTTCATGGACTTAAGGGCCTCCAACCATATGACCTCTGATGTTTCAAACATGATGGTAAAGTCCAACTACTTAGGTAGCTCTAAAGTGCAGGTTGGTGATAGGCTATTCGCAAGTATACGAAATCGTGCAAGTAGTAAAACTCGAGTAAACGAATGTTGAATCCCAAGGGAACTACCTACCAAGTACCAAACTATTATATTCTATTGCTATTTGATTAAACTGAAGTTTAAGAATGAATTTAATGAAAAAGTAAATAAACTAAAAACTAAGTACTAAATAAAGGCAGAATTTGTAAACACTTTGAAGTAAAAATCAATATGACTAAACCTAGGGCATAGATTTCACACCAATTTAATCCTATGCATCATCATCTGTTGTTAACCTAATCAAGCGTATTCTAAAAGCCAAATCCCCTATTATTCCACTAACTCTCTCTCGAGCAATTAGCAAATGAACCCTTAAGCAACAACGCAAGATATCTCTAAATTGGATTTAGGAGCTAAGAGATCATTAAGCTCTATGGAATTTACCGGAGCCTCACAGATCGCGTTCACCTATCTTTAGCGTTCGCTCAATTTATGGTTTTATTACCTCTGACAAATCAGGTTTCATCTCTCGATCTCAACCTAACCCATGATATCATTCAACTCTCGGGCCCTTGAGAATTGAAAGCATTATACACAATAATAAAACTTTGAATTAAAAGCTCAATAAGAATTAACAACAATCCAAGTCAACACATATTCATAAATTGGGCTACATCTTAGCCTTAGAAAAGAAAATTATTTCATAATAAAAATAACAAAATCCATCATTCTATTCAATGACATCAGTTCAAGAAAGAAAAAGATAAAAACTTCTCTAATCGGTGAACGAGAGCTCTCAAGATCCCGATCTCCAACTTGATAGTCGACTTCCTCTTCCAAAAATCCCCTTTAATTTCTTAAAAACTCTCTTTATATCCCTGGGGTTCTCGGTCGTGCTTAGGAAAAATATTTGAAAACTTAACCCATTCAGATTCAGATTAGGGTAATGAATTAACACAAACCTGTGACCCATCGCCGCGGCAGTAAGAATGGTCACCGCGGTAATCGTTCCTTCTGTCCAAAGCATCTGTAAAATTCAGAATTATATGAAGTCATCAACACAAACATGGTAGCTCTCTGATTAAGCTTTCCAACGCCACCAGAATCGTCAAATTCCAACTCCTACAGCTCAAGTTATGATAGAAACATCAAGGCATACTCATAATGAAGAATTTCCAGATTTTTCGTAACATCTTCGACGTACCACAACTCCCTCATTTCGACCCTAATTCTTGTGCCATTTGTTCCTACACGTCGTGAATCCTATCGACATCATTCTTTTCCCTTTAACAACCTGTTTGAGCCTGAAAACACTCAACATGCACCCGTGATCCCATAAATGGTATTTATGAAAGAAATAATCCAAATTCCACACTTTAAACACATTTTTTCATAAATAAACCAATTAAATCACTAACAAAATATAAACATTCAAGCTCTTATCAGTTGGCAATGGAGAATCCATCGCCGTCACACATACAAGTATGCTACTGGTGCCCTCTCATAAGTCTAATAGAGTATTGAAACTAAAAAATATATTGTGTGTACCTCATGTTGCTAAGAACCTATTAAGTATATCTCAGATTACAAAAGATAATCATGTTATTGTTGAATTTCACTCGGATCACTATGTGATAAAGGATAAATATAGCAAAAGAATATTGCTTCAAGGGATAGTGAAAGATAGACTGTATCATCTGACTTTGCCTAGTAATACTCCCAATCTGCCTGGTTGCTCAGTTGGGGGACAGCCATCCACACACAATCTCTCGGCTTTGGAAGATTCCTATCAGAATACTACTACTACTACTACTTTTAATACTACAGTGGATGATAAGTCTAATTGTATAATAAATAAGCACTCTTCTAAGCTTACTATGCTTTGGCATACTCGATTGGGTCATCCCAATAGTAAGACTCTTCATGCTATACTTAAACAATTGAATGTAAAACTTTTTGTTGATGAGAATAAAGAGTTTTTTTGTGAAGCTTGTAAACTTGGGAAATTACAGCAGTCCACCTTTCCAATATCTACTTCTAGGGCTAATGTTCCTTTGGAACTTATATACTCTGATTTGTGGGGACCTGCCTCTGTCATCTCCAATGAGGGTTTTTAGCATTACATTATTTTTGTTGATGAATTCAGTTGATACGCCTGGGTTTATCCCTTAAAAATGAAATCTGAAGCGCTCACTGTTTTTGCTCAATTTCATCTGTTTATTGAAAAACAATTAGGGACTAAGATCAAGTGTTTACAAACAGATTAGGGAGGAGAGTTTAGACCATTTACTAAGTACTTATAACAGTGTGGAATTCTATTTAGGCATCCATGTCCATATTTGCATCAACAAAATGGCCAAATAGAGTATAAACATAGGTTTATCATAGAGTTTGGCCTATCCATGTTAGCTCATGCTTCAATGCCTCTTAAATTTTGGTGAGAAGCTTTTAGTATGACTTTTTTTCTGCTTAACAGACTTCCCTCAGCATGATTTTGCTTCACCATTTGAGACTTTGTTCTAGCAGCCACTCACTACAATGAGCTTAAAGTTTTTGGGTGTAGTTGTTACCCATATCTACAGCCATATCAGAAACATAAGCTGGCCTTTCATTCAGAAAAATGCCTTTTTCTTGTCTATAGTCTCAATCACAAGGGGTATAAATGTATGTCAGGTTCTAGCAGAATTTTTGTAATAAAAGAAGTTAAATTCCATAAGACAAACTTCCCTTACAGGACTGGTTTTCAATTTACAGCCCTTGTCGATGCTGAGTTATCTTCTGCCTTTGCTGAGCCTTGTTTTGCTCATAACCTGAAGGGATGGTCATTACCTTATCATCCTAAGTCAGATTCTACTAATGTTACAGATGTTTCTTCTTCTACTATAAAGATTCATACCAATTCATATGATTCCTCCTCTGCCAGATCAATTGATCCCTCATTTACCCAATAGTCTCTCTCTCATACCACTCCTCATTTATCAAATAACGGTGTTGCTTCTGAAGATGATTGTAGTTCTGCTTCAGTGTCTTCTTCCCAGAATGGTTGTACTAAAAGTTTAGTTCCTCCTCATGCTATCACCTCTCTTGGTATTTAGTTAGAGGTGCTACTTCCTTAACCATCTGCTCCTTCTCATTCTACAACAACACATGTTTCTGTCTCTAGAACTACTACCATAAATGTTCATCCCATGCTCACACGCTCTAAGACCTTAGCCTCCACCTCCACAACCTTACTCTCCACTCACCATATTTTGAAAGAACTCAAATCTGTTACTGAAGCTCTAACCATTCCCAAATGGAAGGATGCTACGTAGGTTGAGTACCAAGCTCTTTTGAATAAAAAAACCTGGGAGTTAGTTCCATATGAAGATGGCATGAATGTAGTCGGAAGTAAGTGAGTTTTTAAAGCCAAACTTAATTGCAATGGTTCTTTGCATAAGTATAAGGCTAGATTGGTGGCTAAAGGGTTGCAACAAACACCGAGGTTTGACTATTTTGACACCTTTTCTCTTGTAGTCAAATCTGCCACCATAAGAATTATGTTTGCCCTAGACGTCCACCAAAACTGGGAGATTCAATAGCTCATTGTAAATAATGCCTTTTTGAATGGGGACCTCACCGAACAAGTTTATATGCTACCACCTGAAGGTTTTCTTCCCTCAAACAATCCTAAACAGGTTTGTCGTTTACACAAAGCTTTGTATGGCCTTAAATAAGCTCCAAGAGCTTGGTTTGACAAGCTCAAGAAGGCTCTAATTAGCTAAGGTTTTAAGAACTCCACATTTGATGCAAGTTTGTTCTTTTACACTAAACATTCTCACATCCTATTTTATTAGTTTATGTGGATGATATCATGATTACAGGGAACAATCCTCAGCTCATTACTCAGGTAATAACATATTTGAACAATCAATTTGCTTTAAAGACTTTAGGGGCTGCTAACTATTTTCTGGGTTTTGAAGTAAGGAGAAATGAATCAGGATTGTTAGTCACTCAATCAAAATATGCTCAAGAGTTATTACAAAAGGGAGGAATGACACATTTAAAGCCTTGTCTCAGTCCTATGGCCACTATTGTCAAACTTAGCAAGGAGGATAATGCGTTATTTGACCAACCCATATTATACAAGAGTATCATTGGTGGA